GGGTTCTTCCACGAAGGGAGGTGCCAGCCGGGAGTCCATTCATGGAGGCTTTGGAGCTCTTGTCCAACAAACTCTTTCTCCTCCTCCCCCTTGTGCTGGGGTAAGGGGTTCTCCGGCTCTCCCACTTTTTTCGGCGCAGACCTTCCGCGTTGCCTTGGTAATAAGTAGGCAATGGACTCGGTAATGGCCCGTAATGGCGGTTCCCAACAACAGTTGCCTGGCCGAAAGCAGACATGGTGAAGACTGAGGTATGCTCTCGGTTGATTGCGGGCCTTTTGATGACTCCCACAGCTTTAGCCAGTCGGGGTGATGTGCTGTTCATCCCAGCGGTGAGGCCTATGCAAAGCCCCGTAGATGCTCTGGAGTCCTGCCCCGCATTTTCGTCACCGTCCTCACCGAGCTGCAGGAGGTGCAAAGAAGCAAACCTGGTGCAATAGGGCACAACGTGATGCTCACTGCACGTCTACTTCATCACGATTTGCTTCATCACGACGCCTCCTCGTCTCGTGCGTACAGGAGGCAGTCTTCAGCTTTGCCAGTCAGATGCAGGACAGTCTACGGGCACTAGGTCGAAGGTGTTTTTAGTTTGCTGGGTTGCGCGGTGGGTTTCCGGCCGAGCTTCAGCGGACACAGCCCAGATTGGGTCCGAGCCTGGTTGGGCTCTTCCAGGAAGGAGCCATGGCGTGACGGTGGCATAGGACCCGATCGACCTCCGCGTCTGTTTGCTGTTCCTTCGAGGTGCCAGCGGGCCGTCCATTCATGGAGGCTTTGGAGCTCTTGTCCAAGAACCTCTTTCTCCTCCTCCCCCTTGTGATGGGGTAAGGGTCCTCAGGCTCTCCAACCTTTTCGGCGCAGATCTTCCGCATTGTAGAGGTAATCAGTAGTCAAGCCAATGACTAGGTAATGGCGGTCCCCTACATCGACAAGACCAAGGTATGCTGTCCGTTGATTGCGGCCTTCCTGATGATTCCCGCAGCTTCAGCCAGGCGTGCATGAGGTGGACTGCAGTGGTCTCCCCTCACCTGAAACGTGTTTTTTCAGCCTCATGCTGAACTGTGTTCCCATCTGCCGGTGTCATCTCGGGAGATCTTAGTTGCTCTGCTCAACGCGCCGGCGGCGCATGTGTGGAGGGTCAAGCTGGGGTTTGGGGCACGGTGCAAGCACCTGCCCAAGCACCTGCCGGCTCAGTGCCAGCACATGGCGGCACTGACACTGAGAGCTTGTATCTAAAGGTGAAGCTTGGCCGTGCTTCCTGCAAGTGCCGCAGATTTGGTCAGTATCCTTTTCAGTAACAAGACAGTGACAAGTGTCAGCCTGAAATCATTCTGTTTATCTATGCTCACATTGTGTCCGCTGAGCTCCATGCCTGAGATTCCGAGGAGTCCTGCGACCCCTCTGACCCCCAAAGGCCTGGAATGCTTTGTGAGGCGCCAGCGCGCACCTCGGAAAGGTGACAAGGGCCACAAGGGTCACAAGGGTCACTCCGTCTCCTTGAAAAGTGGAGTACTTGGAGCTTGGGGGCCTGGCGATGACCCGACGCAAGGCCGAGCTGAATTGAAGATGTGTGTATTGACTGGCGAAACCAGCACACAATTCATCGCCCGCTCGAGACGTGCACGAAGCGGCAGGCCATGAAGGCCCTGCCCCATGGGCTCGTGCTTGACGTGGGACCCACTGCATGCATCTCATGCGTCCTTTTCTTCACCAGCTTGCCATTTCACTCAAACGTCGACAGGCTCCCTGCCATGTGGCAGAGCCTTTTGACACATGTACAGAATGTCGACTGGCATCTGCAAGTTTCATGCTTTCCGTCAGTGTGTTTGGAAGGACTCAGAGTGTCAAGTCGTGACCGATATGACCGTGTGAAAGTGGTTCGCGAGGCCCGATGCAGAGTTTGACCGAAGGACAGTCCTACAGGCACATTGGTTTACGCATGTTCTCAGGTACACTGTCCTGTGCCTTGAGGGCCCCAGCTCCGGAAGACGCCGCAGACCACCCGAGCATCGAGACGAAACTTGTGAAGGTCGCTATGCTCGTGGCATTCGGGGGCAGCAAGGCTGTTGCAAGTTGCTGAGTTCGCCTTGTTGTGCTTTTGCGAAGTCCCACTGTGTGCCGCACTCGAGGCGCGCCGGCAAATGACAATTGCACGATGTTTTCGGTCCTGGGAGTTCAGGCTGCCGACGTTGCAGTGAAACAGACTTTCTTGGTTCATCTCCCCTTTGATTGATAAAGACAGAGATGGCAGACCTGCAAGACACGGCCCGACAAACTTCCTTGGGGCTTCATGGCGATGTCACCTACTGCACCTCAGCTCGAAGCAATCCAAACTAGCCTGAGCGTCCCGGCAAGAGCGCGGAGCGCCGGAGTCCGGAGGTGATCTGAGGTTTGTGAGCTGCAAAGCCAAGTCCATGTGCCGCCCCCATGCTCCGCAGCCTCTTTGCCAGAGCCCCTGACCTGGCCTAACCGCGTTCTGACGAGATTGACAAGTAGACGCGTTCTGACGAGATTGACAAGCAGATTGAGACCCATGCGCGATAAGTGCAGGGGTCTCCAGTGGTCGGAACGAGCAGTGCAAGTGTGATTGCGGGTTCCCGGTCGGCTAACCCTAAGCAGGATCTATGTATCTCATTGTCCTAGGTCCTAGGTGTGCGGACGTTTGAACAGAGTGCACAAGCTCATTGTTCAAGTCGCCAAACTTAGCTCACTGGCACGGCTTCCAGCCGATCCAGCTTTGGGGGCCTTCGTGAGGGTGGACGACATGGCATCTTCATGAGCTGGGCGGGTTCATCTGTTCGAGCCGTGCCTGAGACTCAGAGGTTGGGTCCTGTGACCCGTTTTTGTCCAAAGGCTTGGAAGGCTTTGTGAGGCACCGTGTGGCACCCCCTGGGTCGTCCTCAGGGCCTTGGAGATCATGGGTTCCTCGCATGAGCGGCGGCCTTTATTGGAACAAAGTGGTGTCGAAGGTAGAGGTGGCAGCCATTTTTGGTGTGGATTTGGCATGCCCTACGCCCTCTCACTTCCGGTTCCGTAGAAACGTAAACAACCAGCAGAAGATTGTCCGGATTACCCGTGCGCACTCCCGGTAGGGTCTGAAAGCCCACCGCTTTACGGTCCAATGGCCCGCCGGTCGAAGTTCTTCGCGCGGCCATGCAAGACATGGAAGCGAGGGCGCAAGGCTGTGGAGCCTTTGGGGCTCGTGCTTGACATGTCCGGAATTCTCCGGACCACCTTTCTGCTCATCTGGCAGCCTGCACGGCGCAAACTCGTTGCGTGTTGAATTCGGCAGCACCCCTGCAACGAGTGCGAACTGGTGTCCTTGCTGCAACGTGCTCTTTGCCAGTCCATTCGGATGTTGCAAGTTGTCCCTGAGATCCCCTAAGAACTGAACTAATTGAATGCTGAACCACCAATACCCCAACCCCTAAACAGCATTCCCTCTGAAATTCCGAAGCCGTTGTGCTGCCAGTCACGTCTTGGTGTGACATGGGCTGGATGGCCCTTTGAACAGGCCAAACCTTGTAAAGTACCCAAGAAATGCTGGCCGCGTGTCGGCGTTTGCCTCGATCGTGGCTTTTGCGTCGCTTTGCTGCCCCACCTTCCCATGTGGCAAAGCGCTCTCGGTAGCACCCTGGTTTGTTGGTCGGGCTGTTAGTGGCCAATGTGGCCAGAGGCAATGGCACCTGAAGTGCCCAAGCCTCGGTGACCCTCGCTCTGCCTTGACCTTCTTTACCTCCGTACAGCAAACAGAGACCGAACCGCGAATGCCCTCCGCAGCTGCGTGACTGCTGCATCCGTGGCAGGCCATGCAGGGATCTGTCATTTGCTTTTGCTTTGTTTTTGACATGCTATACCGGAGCCTTCTCACATCTTGTGCAGAATATAACAACGTCTCACTGTCACAGGCTGGTGTCCGGCCTCTCAACGCAGAACATTGCAGCTTTTGGAGGCCTGCGGGCCAGAAAGGCCCTTTCTGGCCTCGCGGAGCTCGCAGCTTGTCTTCGCAAAAAGTAGTGTGGAGCCATGGAAAACCAGGCATACAGCACTTTCTGCACAACTTGATGGCTCGTTTACCAATCATGACATGCAGCGTGTCTTGTGCCAATTCAAGTCACCTCTCTGCTCGAGATGCAGGAGTCCGGTCGCCGTGAGAAGGTCAACCACGCAAGCCAACTATGCCGAACAATGAATGCTCAATGCTCACCATTCCTTATTCGTTCGAGCATTCGCTTTCTTGGGACGATGTTGTAAACGTCGGCGGCAGGGTCGTGTGACCCCTCTGACCTCAAAGGCCTGGACTGCTTTGTGAGGCACGACAGCCTACCTCGGCAGGGTGACAAAGGTCACAAGGGTCACTCCGTCTCCTTTGAAAGTTGGAATGCTTGGAACTTGGGGGGCCTGGCGATGAGCCGACGCAGGTCCGCCGAGCTGAACTGAAGATGTTGGCATCTACCGACGAAACGAGCACACGTTTCTTCGTCCGCTCGGGACGTGCACCAAGCGGCAGGCCATGAAGGCCCTGGAGGCCTTGGCCCACGGGCTCGTGCTTGACGTGGGACCTAGTACTTTCCCATACTTTCCCATGCTGCATCTGGCAGCCAGAAACCACAAAGTCTGCCATGGGGAAGTGTGGAAGTTTGCGACAGCGCCTGCTCAACGTTACTCTAAGTTAGAACTTCTTCCCATTCCCAGGCCAGCCAATATTCTCTCTTTGCGACACACCCCGAGACATGTCTACGACAAGCCGCGAGTTGTCCTTGGCCAGCTCTTGCCCAATGCCCGGGCATTCGCATTGCCTGATCCCTGTTGCCACTGAAGAGCGGAAACCTGCCGGAAAGATTTCTAAGACGAGAGCTCAAAATATGGGTACGTCGCCGTCATTGCCCTTATTCATTGGGGCAAATCCCGTCCCCTGTTTCTCGCCGGTGCCCTGGGCATGCTCGTTCCGTGGCCATGTATTGATTGAATTTGTGAAGGAGGCCATGTGGCCAGGTGGCCAGGAGCTACTGATCGCCTTGGAAGCATTCCGTAAGCCTGGTGTGACCGTGGCCGAATGGCCCAGAGGTTGTTGACCATGAGCTTCCGTCAGCCTCAGGGTTTGTACTGTGTCGCTCCTGTTGCCTCGTCGGCTGATCCAGTTCAACTGCGTCACAGCGCACGACCTCGTGCTCAGTGCACTCCACTTTGCCCGCCGGTGTGTTGAAGATCATGTGTTTGCCTTCGCTGGAAGCAGGAAACCGGGCTGGCACAGCAGTCTCGGCGCCATCGGCCACTAGGGCGACCAGGGCACTCTTGGTAGGAAGTGCAAGACAAATGGAGGTTCTCATGGACGCAGCCTGCGTTTCCTTATGTCTTTCCGGTCGAATCCTTGGTCGTAGGCGCCCGTTTGGATCCTTTCGGGCTTGCAAGAATGTGGGCGCTTGACCCTGCCCTCTGCCAGAGTTTGACATCATCAGTGTAGCAATTGGGCATCCCAGAAAACACCCCTCTGCGCAGTGAGAAGAATTGCTTGAGTTGCCCTGCGGGCCCAGCCTTTGGCGGTTGGCAGGGCCAGCCGTCAGACAAGATCTAGTTTGCGGTCTAGCACACCTGTTGGATCATCCACAGCCTGCCCTTGCTCGCAGCTGGGCGTGCGCGGCGTGTTTCATATAATTGTTGGTGACAATGGAGACTTAGACAGCGTTGGTTCCAATCTGACTCGATAAAGTGGACAGCTCCGCGCAGTCGGGAACGGAAGGTCGTCATGAAGTCATGAAGGAAGTACTGATAGACGTTCTAGGACATGGGTTAAGCTCTGGTGTGGAAAGGTTTTGCCTTGGGCTCTCAGTGCAGGATCTTATCCATGAGCCCAGGTGTTTAAGCTGCACACATCTGAACCACACTCGTGGAATGGATGCGGCAAAATGCTGCCTTTGAGCGGCCTTTGGGTCTCCACGACGCCTCAGACACGCTAGTACAATCTGCGAACAGATGATAGAACATGTTGCAATAGTGATGCTTGAGGCAGTCGTTGTTCCAGGATGCGCCTGCATGCTGCATGCCGTGTCCGATTCTTGCATGGGCACCTGCATACTCGCACCTGCTGTTTTTTTGAGGCGGCAACCCGCACCACAGGTACCTGGGAGGGAGTGGGGGGAGACGAAGCTTCAAACCCTAAACCCTGAACCCTAAAATCCGGCTGGGTTGGGAGTTGGTGACCTGTTCGGGAAACCAAGCCACGCTTTTGTCGTGTTTGCTATTTCCAGGAGGGTGACGCGTCAACATACAACACCCAGTGCATCGAGAAGCTTAGAACCCATCAGGTTTTCGTCCTTCTTCAAGGAATTACGAGGTGGTTAACGGAGCCAAGTCATAGCTCTTTCAGCTTGGTTGGAATTTCACGTGTGGAGCTTTGCAGCATGAGGCAACGTCAACGCAAACGAAGCCTGTCCTTGTAGGACTTGACCTTTGCCACGGTGGCTCTCGCAGCCAGGTAGCAGCAAGGGAGGTGAAGCCAAACCCTACGGGCCCAAACGCCAATACCTCCAGGGCACTGAGTCGGCCCTGACAAAAGGGGCGGCCTCCACTCCTACCTGGTTTGTCTCCAAGCCGCCTATGAGAAGCATGTTGCAAGCCAAGCCTTGAACTGCCGCGTTATGCGGGTTCGTGAGGCTGCAAGCGCTCGTGCGCATCACGAGCTGCCAGCCGCAGTTCTCGACCTAATCTTCATCTTGCCTCCTGCAAACAGAGAGACCGGCTACCTGTGCTGCCTTCTCGGGTAGATGGTGCGAAGCTACTTGGAGCCACAATGCTGCCTTTTCAGCTGGGCCTTGGTCTTGAGAGGTCATGCATGTTGACGAGAAGTCCCTTCTGTGGGTGACGCGGAGAGTGCGCCATTTTGAGGTGCCCAATGTCCCCCCGAAACACAATTGTGGACGAGTTGCAGCATGCCCTGCGCCCCTTGCCCGATGGAGGTCCAAGGAGCGCTCGATGACATTTTGTGGGCGCCCGGCTGACGCGGTGGACCGATGGATCAGAAGAAGGAGACCATCTTTTGAAGGGATGTGCGGAGATGAAGCTTTCCTCCAAGGACGTGAAGGGGCTACCCGGGCTACACAGACGAGAGCCCTGTGTTCATGGACTATTTTCGACCCGCCCAATCTCTTGCACTTTCTGACTTTCAGACTAACATCCTGCTGGACCATATTTTCGTGAAGGTGGATGGCTTGAAGAACGAGAGAATTCAGCTTTGCTAGACAATTTTGACAAAGTCTTCACAACAATCATGACAGCTCTCCATGACTATTGCTATTCTATTGTCGTGCTGTTGCTATTGCAAATTTTATTGCTATTGAAGCTTTGGTACGCAGCGGGTAATCAGAGGGCCCAGGAGCAACGATTTGAGAACCGAGGGTCGAGAGCCTGATGCCCCCCCAACCTCGTGAACCTTTGAGACGAAACAGCGCCCTTGCTAACCAACAGCTCCGCTCCGCTGCCCCTGGAGGTCTGCCTGCAGATGCTTACGCCATCCTGCACCGGAATTCCGAGGGCCTTCGTTTAACTGCGCTGGGGAGTTGATCTGGCTCCGCTCAATTGCATCTCCTTTCGTGCCCTTCAGGTGCTGCAGGACACTCGGTCCGCAGGACTTGGAATACTTCGAATCCGCGCAGAAATCGAAGAGGAGGCCTCGGTCCACGGGCCCACATGGTGGTTTATTCTCCTGGGACAGGAAGTCGCTCCACTAGTACCTCAAAATTGGTGCAATTTGCCAACATGTATGGCGCTTATAAGCCATACACGCGACAAGCTCGAAGCAGATGCCCATTCTCATGCAAACTTTCACCGACGCAAGGGCCAGAGCATCATTTGCTCCATGCGCTGCGGCTTCCATGCCGATGCTTTCAGCCCACTGTGCCGGCATGCCCTGGACTGGCGCACGACTTTAAGTTCTTTAAGATGTTTCTGCGACGGCGCGATCTGAACATGAGGGGCTCTGGCATGTGGCTACACAGTGCCGAGGTCGACAGAAAACGGTGGTGACCCGTATATGCCCATCATTTTCCACCAATGGCCCCTTGCTCAGCAATCTCGCTCGTCAATGCTGCCGCTTGTGCTGAGAACTCCTTGTGCTGGTCCACCTAAGCCTGCTTCATCATGTCTGCAACGATTCTCCCATAATGCTTCCTGGACGCCCTGCCCAGTGGAGAATCGACATTTCGACAGGTTTGCAGGTCCGGCTGCGCAAAATGCCCCACTCATGTGCAGAATGCTTTTCTTACTATATCCTTTGGCAATTTGGCTCGCGCACCGCCCTCAGAAGTAGGAGTGCTTGCGAGCCTCTCCTGTTTTGCACTTTCCAGGAAGTGCAAGCCATCGAACTGACGGTGCCACGTTCAGAAGCTGTCAGGCGGAGGTTCTTGACATGTCTGAAGCTGGCACCCTCAAGTATGCAATACCTTTGACAACCAGGCTGTCCGGGGTTTTGGGCCTTCAAAGCCTGAGCCCAAATCATGCGTGGGACCTAGGGACCTACTGCGCCTCGCAAGCAGATGACCATCGAGGCAAAACCAGCTAGAGATTCATTCCAGAGCTTCCAGAAACGTTATTCAATAGAGGCTGGCTTGCCCCTCCAAGGACCCACAATTGGGCTCCCTAAAACTGGACAACCATATGATGATGCCACTTGGAGCAAACCAAGCTCACAAACATGTTGATCTTGGAAACGACCATTATTAGGCATCAATTTTTCCGGGATGCTGTCGCGGATGGGTCCAGATCCTTCTGCGATGTGCACGCCGCAAGCTTCGGGCAGATGTTGGGCCCAAGTGCTTGGTCTCTCACGCTTCGACAGAATCGGACAAGTCCGAAGCACATCTGAGGTCGACAGGATTTGCACTCCAGCTCCGCTGCATGCGTCGCTCGTGTGGCAATGCACGGTGCAATGTCCCGCAAGAGACGTGTGCATTTTGCTTTGCTCCACGTTCGTGAAGTTCGTGGAAAAAGCCATCCACCTACCCGCCTCGCCTTGTTAAATGCCAGCGGGCTTTGTCTCGGCGAGGTGCTCTGGCCCTGAACAAAGCTCTTCGCTTGGCTCAAAGTGCGTGTGGCGAGTTCGGCAGAGTGGATGCCCCACTTGTCAGTGCAAGCAAGATGATTGTCCATGTGCCTGTTCCTCGGATCTTGCATTCCGCGTATTGAGCCATAAGGCCGAACGGTTGGTGAGGCTGAGGTTGGACCGTGTACCGCTGGCAGTAGGCAGCAGGGTGTCGAGCAGCATACCCCCAGCTGTCCAGAGTCCGGGATGGGACATGGTACCGTTACTCAGCATCACAGGAACCACGACCAGAAATTAAGAGTCCTTCAGCGCGAAGGCACTTAGGCAGGTCCGAACTAAGTACCTCCCTCTCTGAGATTCGTGGGAGAAAAAGGAGCTCGCTGTGGTTCAGCAAACTGTTGATGCTGATCTGGTTTCCCTGCACATTCCGGGTTTGAAGGCGACAAAAAATCTCCAGGGGTGGATCTTCTTCTTCCAGGCACTGGATTCTAGCGCAGAGTTTGGGGATGTTGTTTCAAGGGGCAGGTGCAAGGGCGTGTTATTAGTGGAAGAGCTCCGCAGTTTCTTTCAGAGCAAACGAAGGGAGAGGGAGAATATCGACATTAACACTTGGTGGCAGTGTCGCACTTGCAGTGTAGTGGTAGCTGCTTTTCCACCGTTCGCTCCACTGCGAGCAGACACGATGAACACCACGAGGAGGAGAAGCTGTCCCTAAGACATGAGGTTCACCAGCTAACTCGCATAATGTCGCACGCTGCAGCAATCTGCCAAGCTTGTGCTCAGCCATGGGTTCTCAACAAGACAAATCTGGCAGCTCGGATTTGCTTTCTAAGCAATATCCCGACACATGTCGAGGCGATTGCCAACCCGCTATTGGGCAGTCGGAACTAGAGTTGGTTGATGCAAGATCGTTCGACGCTGGCTGTGGCGCAGCCTCCAAACATGTGTTTTTGTAGCGCCCACTTCCAGACATGCATGAAATTTTCAACACCGGCTGTCGGACAGGTGTGCATTGGCTCAGCAGCTCTAACATGAAAGTGATGCTTCCAAAATGTTATCGCGAAGAAAAACATATATGCACTATCACATTGCAGCCCTCAACATACTTGACAGCACCCAAGAATAATACTTCATAGCCCGGCGCACCCCGTTTCCTATGGCTAAGCCTAAGTAGGTACGCTCGGGTATCCATTCTTCCGCCCACAATTATTGTTTGGAACCTGGCGTGGCGCGAAGGGGCATGGGCACTGGCTGGAGGCCGGCCGTGGAATTTTTATTATCAGTAACCCCAAACCGAAATGGGCAGTTCCTAAATTAGGGTCCGTTTTTGGGATCCCTTTTTAAAGGGGGCCGCCTTGCCCTGATTTCACTGCCCAAGCTGGCTGGAGCAATCCTAGCATCGTGTCCGTCGTGCCCGTG